CGACTGTCAGTAAAGGACTGTACACACACACACACACACATCGCGAAATACGATAATAAGTCTTTCCATTCGGCGTGCATTATACAAATCAACTACTCTCACCAGTCCTTACCGGTTTGACTTTCATTTACCATCGACAGCACGTTAGCGCCAATAACGACCCACCACTAGTCTTTTGTCTAACCAATGGCTGGGTAACACTTTCAGGCAAGGCCTGGAAACAAGCCTTTTCTACTAAATCTTTAATGGCAGTTTTTGTATCTACTAATAAGTAGGGATGGCTGACATGAAACTGAAGTTTTGACAGTGTCAAGATCTTGAAGCACAAGTGGTTCTAAACACTGCACCGAAACATGATCTAAAACACCCAGGTCACGTGACTAAAGTGATTTGAAACACCCAGGTCACGTGACTAAAGCGATTCAAAGCATCGGCAAAGTGATTCTATGCTCTGTGTTATCGTCATTTCAGAAACGTTTTGGACCTGACGAATTTTGACTGACTGGGTCAGAGAATCTCATGTAGCCTAGTGGACCGTGTATGTAATTATTAATATGCATGCCTCAGGTTGCGTTTGACAAGCCACAATGTTTTCTAGTGAGACAACAATGATCATTTACATCTCTTAGTTATTGTTACGTTTATATTTAACTTAGGTCCCATTTTGTAGTCGCTTATACATGTGAACTTACATGGTAACTAGATGTGTAAGTAGTATGTATGTACCAGTGTGTACATACATTGTAGTTACATGCTACTTACACATCTAGTTAACCCATGTAAGTTCACATGTATAAGCGACAATATAAAATGGGACCTTAACTTGTATGCAGGACTTTTATTTTGAAAACGGGAGCCACAGATTGTTTACTACTTTGACTTTGTTTAGTTTTTTGACAAATAAATTCTTATCATATTGCCCGCGTTCTGCCCACATCATGCTGTGTGTTGGTGTGTGTGTGTGCTTCTGTCTATGAGAGCTGCAGTTAATATTCACGACCGATCCAAATATGGTCAATTAGGGACCTTCTGATTGTAGGCGATATTTATGGAGTAATAAATGAGCATATAAAACCGTTTCTGGAGATTTTCTTTTTTAATTGTCTAAGCCATATACCTACTATATCAGAAAAAAATGTAGCTTATTGAATCAATGCAGTATATGGCACCTTTAATTTGTCCAGAAATTAAGCAAATACTTAAGCATACGTATCCCACATCATCACAATGTTATTTGGATACAGAATCGCTAAAGGAAGAATAATGATAAATGGATTTTTTTTTTACTCCCATCCCTAGAAACCATCCACCCCTTACGAGAACAGCATGTACTAATTGTTTTCTGTGCTGCCCAGAATTGAGTCATGTAACGTTCATGTTCTCTAAACACAACAAAGCACAGTTTAAAAGATTGAATGATAGCTGTAAACGCTTAACATAATACACACAATACCTATGTGAAAGAAGCTAAATTTGCTGTTTTTAGGGGGGTTTCTGTCAGTGATGGGGCTGCGTTAATAAAGCATCCCACCCTGGCCCACTTTTTTCTGCCGGTGGCCTGGCGATTAGACACAGTGTTGTCCCACAATAGGAGCCATCCAGCTATGCAGCTCTTTGAAGTGTCAAGAATCATTGTAGGTTTGGATCTGGGTCACTTACAGTTCAGAGCTTGTTGGCGACTGAAAGAGAAATGTTCTGAAAACCGGTGATAAAGCCGCTGCGTTAAAAGCACTTAGCTATAAACAGTCAAAGTCAAAATTATTCGCCCTCCTGTGAATTTTTGTTTCAAATGTTGTTTTTAACTGATGTTTAACAGCACAAGGAAAATTCCACAGTATTTCCAATAACATTTTATACCGGAACCGGAAGCTGCGACTGGTTTTTTTTTTTTTTATTTTGGTCCCACTTTATATTAAATGTCCTTAACTACTTTGTACTTGCATCAATAAATAAATACAATGTACTTAACGTGTTGAAAATGTATTGCAAAGCACTTCTGGTGCTTTTAAGTTAAGACACAGGTCAGGTTATGGACAGGATTGATGGTATTGGTGGGTTTAAGGGAGGGTTAGGGTATAATTACAAATGTAATTACAGAAATTAATTACAGATGTAATTACATGCAGGTATTTAATCAAGCGTAAGTACAATGTAAAAACATGTATTTACACAATAAGTACATTGTAACAAATTATTAAGTTCAGTGTAAGTACATATTAATTAAGGCCACAATATAAAGTGGGACCAAAATTTTTATTCCTATTGTGGCGCAGCCCATATAGAAACTGAATACTAAATGAGAAAATAAATGTAAATGTTCAATTATGCATAATTATACTGTCGTTGTGGAGAAAGCCAGCCATTTACTCCATTTCTTTTTAAAGAGATCTAACTGTAATCAAAGTGCATGTGTCATTTGTTCCATTTCCTCAACTTCTGCTATAATTTTGAACCATTCGTCTTAAGTTGGGGGCTGATCTTTATACCATTTTCGGGTTATAGCTTTTTTACTTGTTGCCAAAATATCTTAAATATCTATCTATCTATCTATCTATCTATCTATCTATCTATCTATCTATCTATCTATCTATCTATCTATCTATCTATCTATCTATCTATCTGTCTATCTGTCTGTCTGTCTGTCTGTCTGTCTGTCTGTCTGTCTGTCTGTCTGTCTGTCTGTCTGTCTGTCTGTCTGTCTATCTATCTATCTATCTATCTATCTATCGAATATGAAGATCAAAAATATCTTTGATGGGGGAGTGCACCATTTCCCAAAAACTTTTCATTCTTGAGCATCTAGGCTGCTCGATTTTGGGAAAAATCATAATCGCGATTATTTTGGTCATAATTCTAATCACGATTAATCAAAACAATCAACAGTTGAAGTCAAAATTATTAGCGCTCCTGAGAATTTTTTAAAAATAAATATTTCCCAAATGATGTTTAACAGAGCAAGGATTTTTTCACAGTATTCCCTATAATATTTTTTCTTCTGGAGAAAGTTTTATTTGTTTTGTTTTGGCTAGAGTAAAAGCAGGTTTGAATATTTTGAAACCTCTTTTAAGGTCAATATTATTAACCCCTTTAGGCATTATATATTTTTGATTAATTGCACAGCCCAAGCGTCAAAGGCACCTTTAAAAAAAAAATTGGTGACGTGTTCAATACTTATTTCCCCTACTGTAACTAGAAACATTAACCTAAAAGGAAATCCAGTCACTTGACTCATTGTGTTGGTGCAGCTCTTCTTCTTCAATGTTAGATTCAATATATTTAGTCTCAAGACAGTCATTATTTCATCTTTTTGCTGTTGCTGTTTGTTTTCAGGCAAGAGTGTTGTGGGAGTTGAGTGTCTGATCTTTAATATTGTGCTTCATGAACATGTAAAGGGGATTTTGTCATTGATGTCGATGGCCTGAAATCTCTCAGTATGTCATGCATAGATCATGCTATCTGTGTGCTGTTCATCCAATGCGATCTCTTGTCAGCGTAGAATCTCTCAGTCTTTTCTTCTCATGTTGTATCTAAGCTCCTCAGGTCTTTCTGCCTTCAGAAGATGAGATCTGGTGGGATAAAATGGTGGTGCGTGACATTTGGAGAGATTTACATATCAATGGGATATCGATGGACGGGGGGTTTCGTCACATTTGACATGACACCGCCTGATCTCAGAACAGCAGTAAACCATCCAGTTCTGAAAATCTCTTTTTTCTTTCTTTATTTTTCCCCTCAGAAAATTATTTTGTAGTTTTTCTACATTCAATTAAATGGTTTAATCACATTTTGTACTATTAAAAAGAAGAGCAAGTTGAATTGTACTACTTATGAAATATTAATTCATTCATTTTCTTGTCGGCTTAGTCCCTTTATTAATCCGGGGCTGCCACAGCGGAATGAACCGCCAACTTATCCAGCACGTTTTTACGCAGCGAATGCCCTCCCAGCTGCAACCCATCACTGGGAAACCTCCACACACACACTTATTCACACTCATACACTACGGACAATTTAGCCTACCCAATTCACCTGTACCGCATGTCTTTGGACTGTGGGGGAAACCGGAGCACCCGGAGGAAACCCGCACGAACGCAGGGAGAACATGCAAACTCCACACAGAAATGCCAACTGACCCAGCTGAGGCTGCCCATTACATTACAAACCACAGGAGAGGGCAAATTCTTCAGCAGGATAGCGCTCCTCATACTTCAGCCTCCACATCAAAGCTCCTGAAAGCAAAAAAGGTCAAGGTGCTCCAGGATTGGCCACCCCAGTCTCCAGATAGGAACATTATTGAGCATGTCTGGGGTAAGATAAAGGAGGAGCTATTGAAGATGAATCCAAAGACTCTTGATGAACTCTGGGAGTCCTGCAAGAACGTTTTCTTTGCCATTTCAGATGACTTTATTAATCAGTGATTTGAGTCATTGCAGAGATGGATGGATGCAGTCCTCCAAGCTCATGATGATGGCATACACAATATTCATTCTGTTTCCACTGCAGCATGACTTTATACTCTATACTGTACATTAGTTCTGTTAAGTGACAAGACTTTTGTCTAAGCAAAGTCAGACCTTACTCTCCTAATTAAATACTTAAAATCAAGGCATGATCATATTTTATTTTGGTAAAATAAGCGTAATCTAGAGGCCTTTGCCTTTCATATAAGCCACTTCAGGTAGCACATGATCAACCAGAAGTTATTATTTGTTGATCTTAATACATGGATAGGCGACAAGACTAGTGTCAGGTAATGTACATGTTACAATGAATAAATCAGGAACATGATTTCACCCATATCGTGACATTTTATTTTCACAAACGTTATATAAGTACTAAACATGTTTCTGTGTATGTACACAATCACTTTTGTCAATTTAACTTGACGGGTTGCCCAAAATGGGAGCAACATTTTTATAATTTCACAGATTTTCTCAGTATATATTACTAGATGGACATTTTTAAAGCTTAATATATGATCTTCTGTGTCGCCCCTACAGCTGACATCATATCCACGGTTGAGTTCAACCCGACAGGAGAACTGCTGGCCACTGGAGACAAAGGTGGACGAGTGGTGGTCTTCCAGAGAGAGCAGGAGGTAAGGCAGTGCAGACCATACATTCATTTTCCTTCAGCTTAGTCTCTTATTTATCAGGAGTCACCCAGTGGAATGAACCAACAATTATTCTAGCATATTTATGCAGCGAATGGCAAAACCTATTGCCAGCTAGCATTTCGGAAGTGTTATTGCGGAGCAACACAAACAGCACGCAGAAGTATAAATGCACAACCGATCACTCGACGCAGAGGTATAAAGCAGCCTTTAGAGCAGTGGTGGGCAAACTTTTTAGACCCGAAGGCCACATCAAGTTTTGCAAACCACATGTCAAAAGTAACTTTTATTTATAGTGGCAGTATGCATGGGTAACCCCGCCAGTCCCATGCCTCCCAACCCGCTCCAAGCTGGTATCGAACCGGCGACCTTCCGCATGGGAGTCAGTTGCTCTAACAAGGAGGTTAAAGACACCATGGCCTCTAGTGTCTGTCGCTAGAGCACCTTTAGAGGTCGGAAGAGTGAGGTTTACCTGCACAGCACTTACTAGCTAGCCTCTGTTACACTCACCCCCCTAAACCTCACTCTCATCCGGGTCACGGCACCAATGCAACCCCGCTGGTCCCACACCACCCAACCCGCTCCAAGCTGGTATCGAACCGGCGACCTTCTGCATGGGAGTCAGTTGCTCTAACAAGGAGGTTAAAGACACCATGGCCTCTAGCGTCTGTCGCTAGAGCACCTTTAGAGGTCCGAGGAGTGAGGTTTACCTGCACAGCACTTACTAGCTAGCCTCTGTTACACTCACCCCCCTAAACCTCACTCTCATCCGGGTCACGGCACCAATGCAACCCCGCTGGCTGAATTTGCACTGCTATTTATATTTACTTATCAATTATTATTAAACGATAAAATTATTGCTTATAAAATATAATAATAATAAATAATGTAATAATTTTTAAAGTGGAGAATATAAAAGATATTGTCTGATAGAAAAAATCTCAAATTAACACATTAAAAATAATTCTTAAAGTTTACTATTCAGTCAAATTTACAATAATCTTATTTGCACTGCTTTTAGAATACACAGATTAATCATCAAACAACTTGATGAAACCACACATCTATGATAAAAGAACTTTTCAAAGTGGATGTATGCATGGAAAATATGTTCTATGACAAAAATGAACACATTTAACCTGCAATTAGTATATAATTTGAGTCAAAGTCACAACAATCGCAATTGTTTATTGTATTAATTGTTGTTATTAATTATTAATTATTGTTAATTGTTGCTTGTATTAATGTGCTCATATTAATCACTATAAAACTATGAGATAAAACGGAAGAAGAATCTTAGTGTTTGTTATTCTAAGTCATGTTATTATGAGTGTGTTAATGTGAACAATGAGCCTGAAAATAAAGTTATATTAATATCAACAGCAACACTCTCGCAATATACCTAGCTGATTCAGTCGTTGCCTAACGACATTAAAAAAGCACACCAAGCTCATTTTTTTCCTTGCCAACAAAAAGGTAGTGCGGTGCACCTCGTGTTTTTGGATCGTAAATGCGCGTTCGGTGTGATCGGCCCTTTAGGTTGTAGAAAACAGCGATACTTTCTTGGCATATTAGACCTACCGCTTTCTGTCCGTTATTGGTGAAGAAGTATTTTGTTGTCACTCCTTATTTAAACACACGACTTTCAGAGACATTTTTTTTTGCCTGACTCATTTTTAGTCATTAACGGTCGAGTGCATATTAATATCCGAGAGTGTGTTCTAATTCTACTGGGTTGTACTGTACCGCATGCAATACTGCCATCTAATGGCGTTCATTTGTATTGCATCATTAATTTACTAATTCTGAAACCAAACCGTTACACAGAAGCAGCATTTAAAAAAAAAACGCTCACGGCCCGGATGAAAGTGTTTGTAGTTTGCTCACCTCTGCTGTAGATTGTTTTGAGGGAATGATGCGCAAAAAAAGCCCCACCCCCTACTTAATATTCCATTTCAAATGGAAGTACGTCAACATACTGAAATAAAAGCCTCAGCCACTTCAGATTCACGCTGACTTTAACATGACAGTTTATTAAACAGATCTAAAATTGGCACAGATGAGCCTCGCAACACTTTGTAAATACAATGTTACACTACCGCTGACAGAAATTTGGGTTTTTGTTAGTGGGTCACAGCCTGTTCAGAATCTGAAAACGCCTGTGTTTTGTCTAGCAGCACGAAAAGAAAAAAAAAAAGTGAGAAAAGCCGCCGTCTGCCCCTCCTCGTCTCACACTCGCACCATCTTTAAAGAGATTTCATGGTGTCTGTTAATCCTCACACCGTGATTCATTTCAGACCCCCTTTAACCCCCTTCCTCCCACTGAGGGGAAATCTGTTTCCATTAATACCCTCGTCTTCTCTCGCTCTGTCTGAGCTCCGCTTATTGATTTAGACGCTTCCCAAGGTGAAAACTGACCCTGAAGGTTTCCACGCTCTGATCAGTATTGAGATATTCCTCCAACCCGGACCACCTTTGTGCCTTGAGGTCCTGACCCGCATCACTTCTATTTCACGGCCTTCAGCAATACCAAAAGAAGAAGAACTACACAGGGGGACTTAATAAATGCATATAATGTTTACTCTCAAATTCCAATTATCGTTTGTTGGGTGCTGCTAATTATGTGCTTTTTGTACAGTATAATTAGATTCAAGCATGCTAATGTAGAGCGAGCGCTCCTTTAATGATGTGAGAAAGATTTTAATGTGAGGAACATTCTTCAATGTGAGGAATATTTGTCATGCATGACATACTGTAGATAAAATAGACTCCGGCGAGGCAGTGGCGCAGTAGGTAGTGCTGTCGCCTCACAGCAAGAAGGTCGCTGGTTCGAACCTCGGCTCAGTTGGCGTTTCTGTGTGGAGTTTGCATGTTCTCCCTGCCTTCGCGTGGGTTTCCTCCAGGTGCTCCGGTTTCCCCCAGAGTCCAAAGACATGCGGTACAGGTGAATTGTCCGTAGTGTATGAGTGTGTGTGTGTGGATGTTTCCCAAAGATGGGTTGCGGCTGGAAGGGCATCCGCTGCATAAAAACTTGCTGGATAAGTTGGCGGTTCATTCCGCTGTGGCGACCACGGATTAATAAAGGGACTAAGCCAACAAAAAAATGAATGAAAATAGACATCACAAGATTGGAAAACTATTGACGTTATGATATTTTGTTTTTCATTTATTGTGATTCTGGAGATATGTCATCTGGTGACTTGGAAATTAATGGGAAGAATTCATTGTGTGAAAATGATTGTGGCCACCTCACAGCAAGAAGGTCGCTGGTTTGAGTCTCGGCTTGGTCTGAAGGCAGTTCTGTGTGGAGTTTGCATGTTCTCACCGTGTTGGCTTGGGTTTCCCCTGGGTACTCCCCACAGTCCAAACACATTAAATAAAATAAATTGGCTGTAGTTTGTGTGTGTGTGTGTGAATGAGTGTGTATGGGTGTTTCCCGATACTGAGTTGTGGCTGGAAAGGCATCCGCTGAGTAAATATGCCGGAATAGTTGGCAGCAGAGGTCTGCATTCCAGCGCTTGTACCGCGGGACCCAACCAGATTTCTTGCGGCATGGGATCTGTCAGTAACAGGTGTATTTTGACGTTTGGTAACTGGTGTATTTTGGGCGGTCTAACAATATCGGTGAGCAAGCACGCGTATGTGTGTGTGTGTGATTGAGAGAGCATGATGCTGCGTTTAGCTTGTCTGTTGCTTTCTGTGTGTGTGTGTGTGTGTGTGTATGAATGAGAGAGAGAGCTTGGTGCTGAGTGCGTGTGTGTGTGTGTGTGTGAATGAGAGAGAGCATGATGCTGTCTGTGTCACTTGCTTGGTGCTGTGTGTCTATTTGTGTGTGTGTGTTTATACAGACAGCTTGTTATAGGCTGTCAGGAGGACTCTGTATAGCTGGGTGGTTTTCGGTTTTACACTTATAGAAGAAACTGGTCCATATGAACTGTAACAGTTACTGACAAAGTCCCTGTCAAAGTCTGAAAAAGTCCCATACATAATAGTCTCTGCTGCTACTTCCTTTAATAGCAAACGGCTGGCGAATGCTGTGCTGCAGTGTAGGTTATTGTATAAAAAATCTGAAAAATGACAGGAATAAACACAGCACCCTGCTGAAAAATCAAGCTTAAACCAGCCTAGGCTGGTTGCCTGGTTTTAGCTGGTTGACCAGCCTGGTTTTAGAGGGGTTTTGGCCATTTCCAGCCTGGTCTTAGCTGGTCAGGCTGGAAAATGACCAGCCAAATCCAGCTAAAACCAGCTTGACCAGCATGGTTTAAGCTGGATATAGCTGGTTTTGGCTGGACTCCCAGCTTGGCTAGGCTGGTCAAACTAGTTTTAGCTGGTCATCTCCCAGCCTAACCAGCTTAGACCAGACTGGAAATGGCTGGAAACCAGCCTGGAAGTGGCCAAAACCCCTCTAAAACCAGCATGGTCGACCAGCTAAAACCAGCCAACCAGCCTAGGCTGGTTTAAGCTGGATTTTTCAGCAGGGCACTAGGTTGGCTATACTGTGGTGTTGTTGCGAAAATAATCTTTAACATTTTATTATCCCCAGCCGAATCTCCATCTATCAGTAATCTTCATCTTTTGATCATGATCAATCCCGTGATCCCCTGCTAGTGTCTGAAGGGAAAGGCACCTTCACGTTTTACTGGAACCGGCACTTCATATTAAGTGATGTACCGTATCGACGGCGGCGCGTTCAGGCAAAAGATCCAAACCCAACTCAATTCATTTATTCAACTCTGAGTGGACTATTTCGTTAAAAAAATAGTCTTAAACATGCTGCACTTTTAGATTTAAACCTCACCTGCATGTTTTCATTCACTTAGTGCTGTGTTACACTGCATGAAAGGTCATTTTCAAAAGCCCTTAATAGTAATGGTAATGTTTAGAATAGTAGAATAGTCATAGTAATGTTTAATGGCTCATGATCAGAATCTTTATTTCTCTGGCTTTAATAACAGATCTCGAGCCTCTGTCACTTGATGCTCTTGGTTATCTGTTCATCAGGAGCTGAAATGAGCCAAAATGAACTAAAACATCGTCCCCCCCTGTGAAGGTGGCATATTTAGTAAATGAACATTGACAGGCATTTTTTCACGTTTTGGTTTGAACCATGAACTCCTGTATCATTGCAGAGTAAGAACCAGCCTCATCGTCGAGGGGAGTACAATGTTTACAGCACCTTCCAGAGCCACGAGCCTGAGTTTGACTACTTGAAAAGCCTGGAGATTGAGGAGAAGATCAACAAGATCCGATGGCTGCCGCAGCAGAACGCCGCATATTTCCTCCTGTCCACTAATGGTGAGTCTTCTCTTCATACGGTTGGATCTGAGACCTCTTGCATACTTCATGCTCCTGTTGAAAAGACTCGCTGCTCGCTGACATGTTTGTGTTTTGGATCTTTACTAAACATTTCAAAATCATTTAAGGGCTGTCAATTGATTAAAAAATCACCTAATTAATCACACTTTTTGTTGTAATTAATCATGAATAATCACGAAACGCCATATTTATTACAGAAATAAAAACACAGGCAAATTAGTGCCATTTGAATTTTAAAAAAAATCAATGCCAATAACAAACAGAAATGATTTCCATGTTGGATTCTCAGCTTAGTCCCTTTATTAATCTAGGGTCACCACAGTGGAGTGAACCGCTAACTTATCCAGCAAGTTTTTTCGCAGCGGATGCCATTCCAGCTGCAACCCATCTCTGGGAAACATCCACACACACTCATACACTACAGACAATTCAGCTTACCCAATTCACCTGTACTGCATGTCTTTGGACTGGGGGAAACCGGAGCACCCTGAGGAAACCCACGCGAACGCAGGGAGAACATGCAAACCCCACACAGAAACGCCAACTGACCCAGCCGAGGCTCAAACTAGTGACCTTCTTGCTGTGAGGCAACAGCACTACCTACTGCGCCACCATCACACCATCTCTAAACATTTAATTCTAAACAGCTTTGAGAAATACAGACACAGCCAAGACTATAGAATACATATAGAATGCCTTAAAGAGACGTTGGACACTGTCAGGCGTTTGCACTTGTTGCTAGGAAACGCACACACACACACACACACAGACAGAGAGACAATGCGCGCATTACAGCACACTCCTCAACCTCCTCAGCGATTCATCAACATGCCTGGTTGCGTTCATCAAATGTCCTTAAACTAAAGTATTGCTGTATTGTACAAGCAAGGATTCTGACACAGCAACGTGAAGCAGACGCTTTACAAAAGTGCGTGTACGAGGGAAATACATCAAACTTAATGACACATTTGAGAGCGCAGAGAATCAAAAGGCAGAGGAATGCACTGTCTTTGACAGCTTGCAACATCATCTGGCACTATCACTGAGTACTTTTACATGGACACCAATACTCTGATTTTATGATTAAGATAATACTCTGATTAAGAGTCTACCATTTAAGCCAGGGGTGTCCAAACTCGGTCCTGGAGGGCCGACGTCCTGCAGATTTTAGCTCCAACTTTCTTCAACACACCTGCAAGAATTTTTCTTGAATGGCTGGTAAGAGCTTGATTAGCTAGCCCAGGTGTGTCTGATTGGGGTTGGAACTAAACTTTGCAGGACACCGGCCCTCCAGGACCGAGTCTGGACATGCCTGATGTAAGCAGTGATTTTTGATTACCTTAAAGGACCACCGAGTCACTTTCCATTCGGCATGTGGTATCAAATTCCATTAAACACTCTTCCAGCAGTCATCACTTGATATTTTCATCCAGTAATTGTCACGGGGGCATAAACAATATGTTGCTAAATGAAAGTGAACTGCTAAAATAAAATTAAAGTCTAAAAATTTTAAATGAAACACACGAAATTGCATGAAACTCTGGAGGAAGTGCTGGATAGCCTGCATGCGACTTTAATTGTTTTATACGAAAACTTTCCTTCTAAAAGCGCTACTTTGGTCTTATCCATATTTCGTTGCACGTTAAACGCACAACAGGAAATTTAAAAAAATGCAACTGCGGTATTTTTTTTTTTAAACAAGGTAAATATTTCTAATTAATCGTGTGCGTTAATGCGCTAATTTTGACAGCCCTAATAAAAACTCATCTTTTTTCTGGTCATCTCTAGGATAACAGCATTTTTAGACAACGACAATATAACGTTTTGACTTCAAACTCCAAAGTGAATAACTATGAAAATGCAGTTTTTGTGTCGCAGTGTAAAGTGGAGGCTTTCGTAAAGGATTATACATTGTTAGTCATGTGACCAATTTAGCTGAAATGGACGACCACATTTTACAGCAGTTGTTTTGGACGCTCTCTTTTTGGCAAGCATTGTTCATTTCAGTTTGTACATGCTTGCTTTTCTTCAAAGGAGTGTTTTCTTCACATGCAGTGTTTACCCAGAGCTGTTGTTTTGGCATGTCTCCCAGTCTATTTTCTCGCTTGTTCCTGTGTTAATCCTGTGTGAGTCACAGCAACAATTCCATCTCACTCTCAATACATTAAAAAAAAAAGCTTTTTCTTGACATTTGCAACATTTCAAAGAGCCAGAAAGTATGCAGTATGATTTAGCATTGTCTCAAATTTAACATGGCTATTACTAAACAGAAATTCAAACTGTTTTCCACGTGACATTTAACGGTAGCCAAATTAGTGAAATAAATGACCAAACTACTGAATAGTACCTATAATGAGTACAATCACGTTCACCTTCAGTTATCAGAACCTACTGGACCTTCAAACAAAATCAATTCTATAGTCAGATGAAACTAAAACGAACAACCTGAAGATTCTGTATGGAAGAAATGCTCAGTAATCTCTTTCAAGAGTTTACACTTAACTGATGATTGATTATAAGCAAGTTTGGCATGCTGTCCCGGGAGAGAGCCCTGAGCTCGAAGGTTCTTGAGCCCTGGGCTCCCTCCCGTTTGGAGGAAGAGAGGGGAGCCTTGAGCTCAGGTAGATCTCGACAACTCCCCCTTGATAAGAGCTGATGACTAAAAATTGAATGCTATCAAAAGATATGCTGCATTATGAGATTACCTGTATTGCAAAATTTAGATTTATCAATTTACTTGTGCATGTTTTTGGAATGTGGGAGGAAACCGGAGGACCCGGGAAAACCCACGCAAGCACGGGAAGAACATGCAAACTACACACAGAAACAACCACCGGCCTGTTAAAGGATTAGAACCGGTGACGTTCTTGCTGTGAGGCGACAGTGCTAGTCACTGGGCCACCATGCTGCCCTATGGAGGGAAAGGTGAAAAGGTAGAGGTGGAAGGGGGGATTCTTCAAATAGAAGATGACTGTAGTGAAAAACCCTGGCTCTTTATAGTGGTTTAAGAATGGCCTGATTGGTGGATCATGCATGTTAATTCAGAACCGCCCGTGTTCAATCATAATCACGTGCTCCTCTCGAAATTAGTTTATGAATAAACTTCACTTAAGGTTTCCTCTAGCCCAGGAGTGGCCAATCCTGTTCCTGGAGATCTACCTTTCTGCAGGTTTCAGTTGCAACCCATATCAAACACACCTGCCTGTAATTATCACGTGGTGTTCAGGTCCTAATTAATTGGTTCAGGTGTGTTTGATATGGGTAGCAACTGAAATCTGCAGGAAGCCCTGCTGAAAAATCCAGCTTAAACCAGCCTAGGCTGATTGGCTGGTTTTAGCTGGTCAACCAGGCTGGTTTTAGAGGGGTTTTGGCCACTTCCAGGCTGGTTTCCAGCCATTTTCAGCCTGGTCTTAGCTGGTTAGGCTGGGAGATGACCAGCTAAAACCAGCTTGACCAGCCTAGCAGGCTGGGAGCTCAGCCAAAACCAGCTATGTCTAGCTTAAACCAGGCTGGTCAAGCTGGTTTTAGCTGGATTTAGCTGGTCATTTTCCAGCCTGACCAGCTAAGACCAGGCTGGAAATGGCTGGAAACCAGCCTGGTAGTGGCCAAAACCCCTCTCGACCAGCTAAAACCAGCCAACCAGCCTAGGCTGGTTTAAGCTGGATTTTTTAGCAGGGCGGTGGCTCTCCAGGAGCAGGGTTGGCTACCCCTGCTCTAGCCTCAACGGGCATTGTAGGAAGAGGTAGCAAAAGATAAAGAATCAAAGTTCGCCAACGATTTTGTCCAGTGCTTTTTGAAGCAAAAATGTTTATCCTATAATGAATACTCCATTTATAACTTTTATTTCAGCGATTGGCTAGATTTTTGTGAAATTGTGAGTAGAACAAACCTTACAGATGTGCTAAGTCTTCTTTTTCCATATTTACCAATACCTTTGACCACAGCCTGGGCCCGGACTGGGACAGTATTTTCGATTGGTAGGTGAAGAGTTAGGGTGGGTTGGCGATCGATAAGTGGGGAGGTGAGAGGAGATTCAGCAGGCCAGAGTCGCGGTGGCAGGCCAGATTGACCGTCAGGCCACTTAGTGCTCCTTATGGCCAGACCAACCAAGACCACAATTGTACATTTAAATCTGATCACGGTTTAAAACTATTCTCAGAGTTTGACGATTGAAATGTTTGAGTGTCGGTGTGAGAAGAGGTTTGTGCTGTTTTCTATGTACTGCAACTGTAGGCCAATTAAAGTAGCAAGCTCAACCCCACATTCATCAGTTTTCCAGAGATAATTCTGCTTTCGGACACATTGGAGGATTTCAGCTTACAGGCAAGATCCAATCTGGTTAATTGGGACCTATTGATTTTTCTTGATTCATCGGCCGTCTATTTCGTTGAGCCAGCCAAGTTCAGTCACTCTCTTTGCTGAGCCGTTGGAAAAGGGCCAGTGGATTGTTGAGTTTTTCCTCTTCTTGTAACATTGCTTCCACCTTACACATTGTTACCATCTCTTTTCCCAGATAAAACCGTAAAGCTATGGAAAATAAGCGAGAGAGACAAACGACCAGAGGGCTACAATCTAAAGGATGAAGATGGCAGGATACGGGACCCGTCCACCATCACAGCTCTGAGGGTATGCAGTCTATATTAAAGACTTCTTGTGAGGTTTCTTACCAAAAGGCGAATTGTTTGAGTGTTTACCCTAGCTTCTGAAGGGCTGCTTTTAAGTCAGTTCTGTAGCACTTTAAACAATATACATGTATTTATTGTGTATTTATAGGGGCAATGTTTGTTTTTGGGTTAGTTGTCATGTCATTATGGGACCCCCTTTGAAAATGAGGGTCAATGTGTTATCCTTTCAAGGGCACCTATGGTAAAAAAAAATCTACTTTTCAAGCTGTTTGAACAGACAAGTGTGTAAGTATAGTGTATATTGGGGTCATGCAGTGTGAAAACATCTGTGACACGACTACTTTTAAAATCATGCAGTCTGAACTCGGCATTACGGGAAGATGTCTTGTTTCCGACTCTCTCAATCAAACATAGATTCTGAATGTTTGTGTAGTTGCTGATCCTTTGATTCGGTTTAGTCACATGACCCAAGTGTTTTGAAACGTGTCAGAGCAGTGTTTCGAAACGTCTGCGGTTCGGGATCTCGACACTTTGTCGAAACATAGAGTCAGCCATCCCTACATAAACATACATTCTAGTTTCAATGACACGGTTTAGGATAAAGTGTCTGGACATTGTGCAGTTTCAACCAGAATTATTAATATAGAAGACATTGGCTAGTTAGTTAAAGTGTGGGTAAATTAGGTTGGCTAAAACTGAAATTCCTCTTATCCATGTGTCCTCTTCCATACGCCGTCTCCCCAATCATAAGGAAAAAATGAGTCTTCATATGTTGGCTCTAGTATGTTAAGGGGGAACTAATAAGGTCAAGCTCTGTTGTAATTTGGCAGCCATAGCTTCCCCAGTGGAAGTGGGCACTCCTGGCACAACAAAGGAGGATTATGGGTTAGAGGAAGAGTTTCATATCTCGCCAAATGCAGCTGAGAAGGTAGGGGGTTTGCTGAGGGTTTTTTTTGCAGGCTTGGTCTCATCATGTTTGATGAAACTGTTATTTGAGCTGTGAGATTGGAGAAAGACCTGTTCATCTGTCCATGTGGACCCGATGAAATAACCCCCCCCCATGCACATGTATTCACACCGTGAAAGTGGAACGTGTCCAGGGGTGACCTGCTGCTACAGCTGGGGGCAGCTGATAAATGTCAGATGTTAATGTTGTGTTGATACCTTGGTCTTCTCTCACGGGAATCATTAGATTGAAGCCAGGCAGGATTGCTTTTGTCATTTCTTGCTCTTACAGTGCATTCCAGGCTTTTATTCTCTTGTGGAATCCTTAGTAGACGCCTAAAAGACATTGAGTAATTAATTACAACATTTTAATATTGTGTTTCATGACGTTATATGGCTTGGAAAAAGACCACAAGACCTCCCCTTTCTATTTTGATAATGTCTTGTTTTCCGGCAGGTCGAGTTCTGCACAATGAATCGAAAAAGTATCATTGTCATGATCGCTGTGAAGTGCAATAAATTAAATAAATGTTAAGTCAGGCATTTGTGTGCTGCATGAAATGTCTCCAGATCTGAGCAATCAGATGGGGTTGTTACTATCTTCATCCCCACCTCTCCAGTAAGTGTATTAGGTGAACCTAAAGCTGAAAATAAAAACTAACGCCAGGAGACGAGAGGAAAGTGACAACGGCCAATCAGAATCAGAATTTTCTATTAGTTTTTAATTATTTTTTATTAGTTATTTTGCAACAAATATTGTTATCGCAACCAGGGGCGCTGCTAGTGAGGGGGAAGTTAGGATGATTATAAGGGCTTATGCTTTTGCTTGTTTTTCTCTAGTTATATCGTTTCAGTCGTTTGATATGCAGTGACATGCAGTCAAATATTTCGCCAATCAGTCCTTCAGTCGAACAGATTCGCCACTTTTGGCGCTTATAAACAGTCATAAAGCCCTCGTGCTGCAGGAATGAGGAGGTCTGCTGAAGGCGTGCAGCTGTCGTGCAGTAAGGGGTTTGCGTCTTCAATAAACAATGGCAGTTTGGGTTCACTGAACAGTTAGAATGATTAATAAATCCATATGAAACAGTCCCTTAAAAGTCACGTCTCGCTTTCAGATTCGGGCTTTGGCGTGTTTTGCACTCACACACAAGCATACCGTGCCAAAGCCCAAGTGAACCGTGCTCAGGCCCACCTCTTCCAACCGGGCCAGGACCGGCCATGTGAACCATGCTTGAGCCCGATTCAGCGCACTTACACTTCTCAAACGATCCAGGAAACGGGCCTAGGCACGGTATGGATGGCTTAGTGTGAGTACGCCCTTAAAGTTCTCTAAATGATCCACCTTAAGTTTAATCAAGTGGTCGTCTGTGTCATTAAGTGTTGTTTCAGTGTCCTCAATCTTTGGAGCTTGTAGTGAAAGGGTTGACTGCAGTGTGGATACGACAGAATGAAGCTCGGAAAAGAATTCAGATGGCTATGTTGAGACTTCAGAGTGAATGGTGGTTGAAATTATATCCTTTAAAGAAGCAGGGATTCGCTCGTCCACCACCTTTGCTAGAGCTGCAGCATTATTTATAGCTGCCTGCTCGCCGCCTTGGTATACTTCGTCTTGATTTGGCATTCTTACTTTTAGATATGTTAAAGCATTGCTTAATGTACACTCACCGGCCACTTTATAAGGTTTCACCTGTCGAATTGCTCATTAATGCAAATTTTTAAACAGCCAATCACATGGCAGCAATGGCCAGACTGGTTCCAGCTCATAGAAAGGCAACAGTAACTCAAATAACCACTTATTACAACCGAGGTCTGCAGAAGAGCATCTCTGAACTCACAACACGTCCAACCTTGAGGCAGATGGGCTACAGCAGCAGAAGACCACACAGACTGCCACTCCTGTCAACTAAGAACAGAAAACTGAGGCTACTATTCACACAGGCTCAACAAAACTGGACAACAGAAGATTGGAAACGCGTTGCCTGCTCTGATTTCTGCTGCAACATTCAGATGGAAGGGTTAGAATTTGGCAACATGAAAGCATGGATCCATCCTGCCTTAAATCAACATTTCAGGCTTGTGGTGGTGGTGTAAAGGTGTGGGGGATATTTTCTTAACACGTTTTGGTTCTTAACACCCATTAGTACCAATTGAGCATTGTGTCAACGCCACAGCCTACCTAATCCAACCCCCTTGGTGTACCAGGGTGTACCTAATAAAGTGGCAAGTAAGTGTATAAGTGTAAAACAAAGATAACTAAGATTATTAAAATATATATATGACTCCCACCTGCATCTAGCCTCAACAAGGGATACCGGAAGTCAAATCTAGTATACTATAGTTTTGTATTTATCTTACTAGTTAGCTGTACAGAAGGATTTTCCGTGTTTGAGAATTTCAGTAATTATGATATTGATTTGTCCGGCAGTCATGCACTCAGAAACATGTCAATACTCAGCCCCAGTCATACTCTAATCCTGTCATTGGAGAGTGATGTTATGCACTGGGCTTGGACTGACCCTCACACGTAATGGATGATTTAGGAGGTCGATTTTAAAATTGCATTATGGCGGTGGGAGATGGAGCTTTACTGAAACGTAATAAACTATGCAAAGCCTACACTAGCTGCTGATGCCCTGTGGGCTCTAGCAGCGTTATTGCCAAAAGAACAGATGTCCAGGATGAAGCTTAAATGCCGGAGGATAAGAAAATAAAAGCGACATCGACCATTTGCAGGTGGATTTCATAAACGCTGAACATGTCAACTTCGGCTTTGCAGTATTGTGATTTTCAGAAAAGGACTTTGCTTTTAGCTGAATCATAGGAAATACTTAAAGTTGTGCTGACAAGTTGGAGGAAGCTACTGTTTTCTTTAGCTATTCTTTCATTAGAATCAGATACTCAAGTAGACGTGTAATTACAGTTATGTTTATACCTAATATAGAGATCTAAGTCAGGGTATCACATACTCAGTCAAATCTGGGGCAATTCTAGATGTCTCGTCTGGCATCCATTATTCATTTAGCCTAGCTCCTGATTTATACCTCTCTTTCTCTTGAGAATACAGTAGACTGGTGTCTATGGATATTTTTAGGAGAGAGTTCTTTAGACGGATGTAATGTGTTCAGGGCAGTAGCTCCATCACCTCTTCCTTAACTAACACTGCAGCCCACTGGAGACCAGAGCTAGAAGAGCTCAAATCCTCCTACAAATATATATATATGTGTGTGTGTGCAGGCTTACCCAAAAGCAGGGCATTTATCATTTTGCACATACTGTGCAGAGAGGAGAAGGAGATAAAGGGGGAGGTGAGGGTGAATCCCTCGCTGGGAGTCCACAGGGTACATCTGCCCCTACTGTTATCCAGCGCAACAAGGGGCTAGCGAGGGTTTACTGCCTTCATCTGCGTCTGCACTCCGAACACGAGGGGCTTAACCCAGCAAAATTGTTTCAGCTAGGGGGGAGGGGGCTGTCACTGTCTGTGAAACAGTGCATTTGAGACATCTTTAGAAAGACAGGAATGCTTTGTGTTTGACACAAAGACAAAAGAACATGTTGACTAAAAAAAAAAAATCCTTTCCATGAAACATGGAGATGCAAAACGTAGCCGACATTTCAGTGGTCAAAAGTGAAATGTCATGTATGATTATCTAGGAGTTAAAAGAAAAGGGAAATTATTTTGTTTTTATTAAAAGAACTCCAGACAATGCCAAAAAAAAATTGTTGGAATTGACAGAATTTTCGCCCAGCAAACATTTTTGCTAGCCAAAAATTTGGATTTTTGAGAACAATGATCAAAATGATGAGCCAAAAAAGTGTTCAGCATGGTCATTTCACTCTCCTTCCAGTCACTGTGCGGTGAGAAGTGGCTTTCACAGCAAACACAGAAAGCACAGCGCTATGAAACCTATTCATTTCAATGGCTTGCAGCACAAAGCCGGTTTGTTGCTGCACTGACCAAAGTCCAATAAGGAGCTGATCACACCTTTTTGCTAGAGGTCTGAACCTACACTGGGCTCATGGTTCGGTTCGGTTACCATTATCATGCCATTGATGACCTTTGAGATGTGATGGAATGGAAGATTGGCATGGATTTACAGCCGACAAATCTGCAGCAACTGCGTGATGCTATCATTCTCAATATGGAGCAAAATCTCTGAGGAATATTTCCAGTACCTTGTTGAAGCTATGCCATTAAGGATTAAGGCAGTTCTGAAGGCAAAAGGTCCAAGCCAGTACTAGTAAGGTAAAGTGGCCGGTGTAGTCATAAGTTATAGTTGTTTAGAGTTATGTCATAAATACATTTACTGCAGTTTCATAAGTGTTTTATTTTGTTCGGTGTGATTTTTCAACAAAAAAAAATCATCATCCTTTGCGCGACAATCCATTACTGGATCCTGGCTGCCTCAAGTAATTTCCGCCAATGTTCTCTCTCCCGCGCAACTGCCCACCAATTCCTTATTCCAAAACATTGGCGTCACTGCTAATGCAGTCTCGCCATCTTGGTTTAGGCCTTCCTACTTTTCCTTTGCCTACTGAAGATTTCATAATATAGTCAGTGAACTGTGCAAAATAGATATTATTATTACCAATTTCATTCACACACTCTCCCTCAAACACACACATTCAGTCGTCAGTTACTATTACCTGCTGCGAGTCTGATTGCATCCAACGCAATCCATGATTTATGATTTCTGCGCTAACATAAAATCTTCACTGCTGAAGATATGAATTATTTATAATGTTTTCGTAAAGTGTACCCACATATCCAACCCCCTTCTTATCATTAGTGACTGAATATCCCAGCAGTCAAACTTAATTAATGCTTGATTGAGAGATAATAGCTTCAATCAGTCTCGATTGCTCCCGTCAACTGAATTCAAGACACTATGCTCCAAGGGCTAATTTCATTACTGAAAGCGCAGAGTAGGTAGTAGAGGAAACACCCAAGATAGAGTTTGATTGACAAAGCAACAGATAAGCATGATAATAAAATACATTTAAAGTGAATCAAACCCTTTCATCAAATCTGTCCTAACACTTGAACATCAGCTATATTGCCTTGGCACAATTTTTGGAACCCACAGCAAAATAACTGAGGCCTACTATTACATTTATTTCGAAAATAAATCCGTGAAGGCAGCTGGAATTGCATTTCAAACGCATGCATCAACAATAGGGCATCCCTCACCCCACCCCCATCATCCTCTAACAGAAATCAAAAGCCGGAGTTCCCATGTGTGAGGTGATAATGACCTGCATTGGTAGCGGGTGCCCCCCCCTCCTCCGCCTCCCACTGCTGCTGATGTGAGCTTCTCATCTCGTGTCGAGGAGGACATGTCTGTCATGCTGCTCCCGTCATTAGTGGCAATCATAAAAAAAGCTCATGGGGAGTCAGGCGTAAAGCACTTCCTCCTGTGAAGCACATGAAGAACACCGGCCCTTACATTAGTCATCATTAAAGAGACGGTAGAGCGCTGCTTCCTATTACCACATGCTGGACCACCACACGTTCCCGTCTTGACAGTAGAGCTTTGGGAGGGTTTAAGAGTGGGGCAGTGAGAAATGTTAGGGTAAGGTATCTGTTTTTACCTGGACATACTGTACAACCCCAAATCAGAAACAGTTGGGAGAGTGTTTAAAATGCAAATTAAAAACAAAGAAAGTCGTGATTTCTAAATTAGCTTTGACTTGTATTTCATTGCATTGTAATGTTGCAGTTGCTTTTCACAGCACTAAAAAGACATTTAGGGACTGGAGACACCAAGTGACGAAGATGTATTAGGTGTAATTTTGTCCCATTCTTCCTGCAAGCAAGTCTTAAGTTGGGAAACAGTACCGGATCTTCAATGACAGGTACTTGACTGGACTGCCTGCAATCCCAAACTGTCTCCAATAGAGAATGTGTGGTGCATTTTGCGCTTTAAAATGCACCAGACATTCTCTATTTGAGACAGGTCGGGACTGCAGGCAGGCCAATCAAGTACCAGTATCCTCTGGAGCAAAACTTTGTAATGTGTGCAGAATGTGGTTTTGCATTGTCTTGTTGAAATATGCATGGGTGTCCCGGGAAAAGAAGGCAGCATATTGTGCTCCAAAATCTCGAAGTAATTTTCAGCATTAGTGGTGCCATCACAGAAGTGCAGGTTACCTTTGCTAAGGGCACTCGTGATGGTCCATCCCAGATGCCTCCAAGCCCAAAGAAGTCAAAGACGCTTCTGGACACTGTTAACATAGGGCTTCCTTTTGGCACACTACAGTTTTCACTGGCATTTGTGGATGAAACAACATATTGTGGTTCTTGACTAAGGTTTGCCAAAGTAGTCCTGATCTCATGTTATGATATTGATTATATTTTGTATTTAATTTTATCTAAGCTCTTACATGCTGTATAATACCATTGGGTTGAGGCCATTTTTAAGATTACAAAAGCACTTAAACCCATAAATTGTAGCAGTACTTAGGCCGAATCCCAATTTTATTTTTGTACACCTACCTCTTGGCCTTGAAACAGTGTGAAGGGGAAGAGCTTCAAAATTATTATTATTTTTTAAATTAAACACATTCCAATTTTGCAAAATAAAAGTCGCAACAGTAAAGCATTTACCAATTTGTAATGTTGCCATTCCTTTTCACAACTCTTAAAAGATGTTTAGGGACTGGAGACACCAAGTGAAGAAGTGTTTCAGGTGTAATTGTCTCATTCTATCTGCAAACAAGTCTTAAGTTGGGAAACAGAATCGGGTCTATTTTGTCAGGCACTTGACTGGACTGCCTGCAGTCCTGACCTGTCTCCAATACAGAATGCGTGGTGCATTTTGCACTTCAAAATACACCACACATTCTCTATTAGAGACAAGTCGGGACTGCAGACAGGCCAGTCAAGTACCTGTATGCTCTTCCTCTGCAGCAGGACTTTGTAAAGTGTGCAGAATGTGGTTTTGTATTGTCGTGTTGAAATATGCATGGGCGCCCCTGGAAAAGAAGGCAGCATATTGTGCTCCAAAATCTCCATGTACTTTTTCAGCATTAGTGGTGCATCACAGAAGTGCAAGTTGCCTTTGCTAAGGGCACTCGCGATGGTTCATCCCAGATGCTGAGCCCAGAAAAGTCGATGGCACTTCTGGACACTGTTAACATAGGGCTTTATTCGGCACAGTGCAGATTTAACTGTCATTTGTGGATGTAACAATTATTTTAATTGAGTACAAAACTGTTTTTTGTAACATATGGAGAGACACAGGACAATCATTATTATGTCTAGTGTTATTCTGTGCTTGTTTTTGTGCACTGTATAGACTGCTGTATTCAATGTAAAAGAAAGTGAGTTGGGATACGGACCAGGATATTTACTGCAAAGAGTTGTCTCCCTTTCTAACCATGTGATTTTCTCCTCCCCTCAGGTGCCTGTGTTGAGGCCAATGGACTTGATGGTTGAAGCAACACCTCGCCGCATTTTCGCGAACGCTCACACCTATCACATCAACTCAATCTCCGTCAACAGTGACTACGAAACGTACATGTCCACAGATGACTTGAGGATCAACCTGTGGAACTTGGAGATCACAAACCGAAGCTTTAGTATCCTTTTAATATCAGACAGTTGAGTGTCTTTAATGGTTGCAAACCTGACAAATTTTGGGTCTCGGTTTTATTTAATCATTGTATGAAAGGATTTGGGTGTCGGTGCCAATAGTCTAGTGCAGAGATGTCCAAACTCTGTCATGGAGGGCTGGCGTCTTGTAGAGTTTAGCTCCAACTTGCTTCAACACACCTGCCAGAGAGTTTCTAGTAAATCTAGTAAGAGCTTGATTAGCTGGTTCAGGTGTGTTTGATTAGGGTTGGAGCTAAACTCTTCAGGACGCCGGCCCTCCAGAACCAAGTTTGCACATCCCTGGTCTTGTGGTTCTCATGTGCTGACATATGGCAGCAATGTGCTTTGTGAGTTTGAATCCTGGGTCGTGGACCATTCTAAATCCTATCCCCCTTCTATCTTTAATTTTTTGTTTTCATATTTTAAAAACATGGCATAGGACATGGTTTTTAATACAGTATTTCTTGTGCAGTTTGAGACCCACTTTGTATTATGTCTATCAGGTAGTGAAAATCACTGATTTTAAACAAAACAGATCTTCAACTTGGCAGGTTTATAACAGCATGACTGTTCGCCTGAAGCATCAGGATGGGCTCCATCGATATAACATTGGGAAATCTTCGATAATCTTTCACAAGATTGTCTCAACTGCATCCCTTAACCATAATCCTAAAAATAATGGTAGTCTTTTACCTCTTGTGCCTTACTTTATTTTCCCAGAAGTCACTTTGTAGCCAGACACAATACATATTGACAGCCGTTTGCCTCTAAACTAAGAACAAAGGGGTTTGAGCAAACCCAGCAATCAAACAAACCCAATAAACTACCTGCAGACTGTCTCTGCTGTCACTTAATTCTGATAGATAACACCTCTGTGATGTACATTACGCCCATTACCCTTTATCAAGTGTCCGCCACTAATCCTGACCCCTGCTTCGCCCTCCCGGTGGTAAATAGAGTCCAGCTTACCAAAGCGCACACCCCTATCAATCATTATTGACGAATGTTCTCCAGGACCCTGCAGAGCGGAGATGGCCAGTCTGTTTGGGTGGTTATGAGATCTGCCGAGTGCCTCAAGGCAGAAGATAAAGCATGTCATTTGCCAAAGGTCACAATGCAAATGTTTGATCCTCACAGTATGTCACGATGGATAACCTGCCACTACTCTACTACAACAGATGGATTTGATGCTATATTTTTAGAGCTCTCTTATTGGACACAGCCATATCACCCTGCAGCCCTAGAACGGTTACTCACCGAAGTTAAGCAGGGCTGAGCCTGGTCAGTACCTGGATGTGAGAAAACTAGGTTGCTGTTTGAAGTGAGGCTAGCAGGGGGCGCTCAACCTGTGGTTTGTGTGAGTCCTAATGCCCCAGTAAAGTAAAGGGGACACTACACTGTCAGTAGGTGCCGTGTTTCGCATGAGATGTTAAATTGAGGTCCTGACCCTCTGTGGTCATTAAAAATCCCATGGCACTTCTCGTAAAGAGTAGGTGTTTAATCTTCGTGTTAAAGGACCTATACAATGATGACGGATTTAAATCATTTCAGATTTTGAAAGAGGAATTCTCTCTTCCAGGATTCTCCTTTTTCTTATATTTAAGATAGAGGTCTGCGTTGACAGGATATGGAGTACCTTGGTAATTTAAAGTATCCCCTCAGCCTATGATGGACTGGATAGATTCTAGTTTGGACTCTAGAGGTGAGGTAAATATTATTTATAAATGCCTTATAGTACGATAATATTCAAATATATCAATTGAAGGCTTCTGGGAGAGAGAACTCAATACATTTATTGATTGGGGGACTACAGCCTACAGAGAATCAATCTGTCAGATTCTGGAGTGCATTACAGCTCTAAAGAAAATTATAAATGATATTTGATCTTAAATAAAACCAATGCATTTATAGAGATGGTATGTAATTTCACTCACATGGGAAATGAAGGCCATGTGAATGGTTTGCGAGCACATTAAAGTGCACACAGCATGCCATATCATCTGATAATGTAGGAAATAGTTACAAAAGGCGACTGACTGTGTAAAGCCACATTAAACAAAATGAAAATACGATGTATATGCAGAGTTCAGCAGCTAATCAGCCGGAATCAGCTGAGGTGTCGGCGTCCAGCACGCCCTAGCTGCCACTCAAGTGGCCACGCCCTTAATTATGCAGACTTACTATCATTTATAATAAAGGAAATGGATGAGTTATAAAAAAAAAAAAAAAATCACCCTCCTCACAGTTGTCATGAAGGCTAATATTAGCTATATGAACCAAAATGGTTCTTTGTACCAGGATGTAAACACCCTTTTTTTCTGCTGTAGAGTTGGTCATTTTAACAGTGGGCTTAATAGAAATTTGCTCCATATGGAGCCAGGACTACCGGATTTTCCATGAATTGCAGTTTCAGTTACTTCTGTATTTGCTTCCCGAGGGAGAGCGGGAGGTTGCCGCTTGTATCTGACTAAAGATTATGAGGGCAAATATATTTTTCCAAAATAATGAAGTGCACAGATACATCGTTTAAAGCAAGCACTACTATATACATATAGGAACTAGAGTTCACTTTGATTTAATGCTGACTAACATAAGCCAGTTCTGAAAGATCAGATTCTCATGGGGGGAAATTGCTTGAGAGATTTCCTGAGTTGTGTATTTATCTCTTTGTAAACTGGTTTCATCCAGTCATTTGGGAAATGTAGAAATAATCCACTACATATATAATCAAGCAGAGCTTTTATTAAAGGGATTGGACCGTTCATGGGGGAATGTGTGTGTAATGTAAGATTGTGGATCCTTCATTCCGCTTACTCAGATATTGTGGACATAAAGCCAGCCAACATGGAGGAACTGACTGAGGTGATCACAGCGGCTGAGTTTCACCCTAACCAGTGCAACACGTTTGTCTACAGCAGCAGCAAGGGCTCGATAAGACTGTGCGACATGAGAACCTCCGCACTTTGCGACAACCACTCTAAGCGTGAGTTAACTGCTTCTGTTTGCGCATTACAGCCAATAGATGACAATCAAGAAATTTAATGAAGGTGGGGTCAAGACCAGACCAAAATAGCATCCTTAATCACATACTTATACTGTTTATACTGCAGAATGGCATAGAATAGTGCACAAGTAGTGTGTTCACGAAATGTTACGTATTTATTGAACCAATAAATAGTGTGGAATGTTGAACATTTTGTGTTTAACAGAAGATGAAGAGAATTAGGAAAGGAAAGGGGGGTTAAATGACAGCATTTAAGGTTGGAAAATGTATATTGAATTGTGCTAGCCCCTTATAAAAGATATTTTAAGGTAAATTAATTGTTCTTGTCTTGGGACAACGTCAAGAAATTATGTTGGCGCAACAACCTCATTAGTGGATTTGCATTTCCCAACATGCTTTGCGTGGGAAATGTTGACAATAAAAGTAATCCTATGCAAGTTAAGAAAAGCGGCACGGTGGCTCAGTGGTTAGCACTGTCACCTCACAGCAAGAGGGTTGCTGGTTTGAGTCCTGGCTGGGCCAGTTGGCATTTCTGTGTGGGGTTTGCATGTTCTCCTTGTGTTCACATGGGTTTGCTCCAGTTTCCCCCACAGTACAAACACATGCGCTACAGGTTTGGGTAAATTGGGTAAAACAAAGTGGCCGTAGTGTATGAATGTGAGTGTGTATGGGTGTTTCCCAGCTGGAAGGGCATCCGCTGTATAAAACATATGCTGGTTCATTCCACAGTGGCGACTAAGCTGAAGAAAAATGAAAGAATGATTGAAGTTAATAAAAGTACTTCAGCGGCTCCCTCACTAAAGGCTGATTTATACTTCTGCGTCAAGCACACGCATATGCTACAGCGCGGCCTACACATGGACGCATAGTCCTCGCCGTGGCCGTCACTGACGCGCACCTCTCAAAGAATTTAACTACACGTCGCAATGACGCGTAGCGCAAGCTCTGTGATCGGTCAGCTTGGTAGCGCTAAAGAGTCTGGGCGGTACCGAGAGCCACGCGAGCCAGATTGAGCGATTGTTTACAAGTGTGGAGTCCCGTGAAGGAGCTCTGGATGGAAAGTTTTGTTGTGTGTGTTGCTCATGGTTAAAGTTGTTGCACGTTCGCCGGTTCCTGTCTCAAAATAAGCGAGTTTGAACCACTTGTACATTCAGGAAGCGTTCAGAAAAAACAAAACACCAGCGAAGAAACTCGACACAGAGGAACGTAAACTCCTACTGCCGGCCAGCATTTCGGAAGTGTTATTGCAGACCAACAGATACAGCGTGCTGAAGTATGAATGCACAGCTACTCGCATTGCATGCGCCGTGGGTCATGCCGATCACTTGACACAGAAGAGTAAACCAAGCTTAAGCCTTACTTAGTTTAAAGATTTAGAAGAGTTTCTTGTAAGGTTTTGAGGTTACCACCTTAAAGAAGCGCATTGATTCTTTGGTGGTTGGCAGCTATTAACTACAATATTGTTTGATACTTCCCTCAGTGAACCACAACTGTGCTAATGTAAGTTCTGGGATCAGTCTCATTAACAAAGCAGTTGCAGTTCGAACTGCAATAAATAACAGAAAAATCTGGTTGTCCAAATGAAGCGATTGAGTTTTATTGGCTCTACAAGAATAAATTTGTAAGTTAAAAGCAAGTTAAATTCACATAAAATAAAAATGATGACATAACTGGTTTAAAAAGAATGTGTCTCATGGCTTCAATTTGCCTTTCAAGCTGAAATAGCTTAATTCAAATAAAGAAAAGCTTTTCCACAAAACTGAATTAAGTTCATTTGAGTGCCTGTTTGTTTTAATCTTCTGTTAATGTCTCATCAGTGTTTGAGGAACCAGAAGACCCCAGTAATCGTTCCTTCTTCTCGGAGATCATATCCTCCATCTCGGATGTGAAATTCAGCCACAGCGGACGCTACTTGATGACCCGTGACTACCTCACAGTGAAGGTGTGGGACATCAATATGGAGAGCAAGCCTTTGGAAACTTACCAGGTAATAGCTCTGCAGATTGGACTTTGACCAGTGACTGCAGGCAGTGTGGGTTTGGAATGATAGTTTAAAAGCAACACTATGAAGTGTTCAATCTTAAAATAATTTCAGTGGTAGAACAACCCTCAACCAGATCAATTCTGCTGCCGCTGCTACCAGAGTAGCCTCCTGTTGCTGAGCCTGCATCGCGATCCTCCATCCTACTCCCGTCGCAGCCGCAGCCCGCTCACGTAAAATGCACACTTACGCCCCATTTACACTAATACATTTTAGTTTTAATGGCATTTCTAAAAAAGCCCTCCGTCCACACTATACGGCTGAAAACGCACATCACGTGACAACACACACTGTCATGCATTCTAGCAAATGCACTCAACTGAGCTCCAGGGAGTCAGTGGGTGCTTTAAGCACAAAACCCCAGAGAGCAGTGCACATCGGACAGTTTATCAAGGATGTACCGCTAGATGGCGTCTCACTATAGTAGTTAAACATGATATTTAATTAATCTCGTCTCAATGTAACGACTCTTCTGTCTTTTGAACTGATCAGGTAACGTGTCACAGCGTCAGTACACTGCTTCAATCTTTCGCTTTCACGCTTGTACTTGTTCATTTTAGTGAAAACCTCAGATACTGTTGGTTGGATGCTGTTGGTTGTGCATCTTTTTTACCAACCAAGTTTGCCGACACCATTTTAGCAATACAGATCACTCTGCCTAATCATGCCAGAGTCCTGCTGAAAAAGTGATTGACAGGTGGGGTAAGTTGTGTGTAACTATTTATTTTTGATTTGATTATGGGTAAAACAAAGATCATGCGGGTCAGGTAGTTGAAATGGTAGGATACAAATAATTAATTTATGAATTAATTAATTTTTAATAAATAATTCATCGCCACCTACAACCATCATCCATCGCATTGTTTCATTAGACATCGCAGGGTTCAACGCTAAGGATTTTTTCTACTGGTCCAATCGGGCCAATGGTTCAGATTTTTACTTGCCCCGCCAAAATTTTCACTGGCCCCATTAAAAAATAAAAAAAGACAAGTTAATACTTATTTTTAGCCACATATTTTAAATAATGTGTCAAAAATAACTTCTGTGAATCTACAATTTCAATATTTGAAAAATGTTAATAAATGTATGAGCACAATTCAGAGCTATGCAAACAAAAATTGCATTATGGCAAATGTGGAGGTATTTTATTGCAGTTCGAAATTATTTAACAAAAGGTGGCTGACTGGAAAATTGTGGAAAAAAAATAAATAAATAAAATAAAAAATTATAATAATCACCATTTTTTTCATTGGGTTTTCATGTAATAAACAGACATTTTACTTTAGACTTTTAATTTGATATTGCTGCCTTGTTGCCGTCTCTTCGCTGTACTGGTTGTTACCAGGATACAGAAAAAACAGCATGCTCAAAACATCAAATCAGATAGGAGGATCCGAAAAAGCAATCGACATCAGAGAAGGTAGCATTTTAAGACTAAAAAGCTGAAGCTTAAAATGCACACAATGGACAAATAGTCGCAGGCAAGTTAAACTTTAGTGACAAGGCAGCACTTTTCCAATCGGGCCAGTAATAATCCTGTCTACTGTCCCAAGCATCTTTCACACTGGCCCCGGGCCATAGGGCAGTCCTTATTGTTGAGCCCTGCATCGTACAACGCCAAATTGGTAGAAATCGCCCAACCCTAACACAAACCTCAATGCCAAGGTCATGGCAGAGACAGAAATAAAACTCGAAATAGAATCGGATAAGTACCCTAACAAGAATCAAAATCAAACATGGGAACACTCAGTCATGTCTAAAGAGTCATTCAAGTAAACACGAATTCACAGCCTTGCAAACTTGCCACCAGTGACCAATAGATAGGCTATTTGGACAATATGAGTAACACGGGCTACTTTCCTTATATTGCGTTGCCCATGGGGAAGCTTATACACATAGAAGGGGGAGCCACAAAGATAAAACTTACTTCAAGAGTTCACACTTAGCTATTGCTTGATGCCAATTGCAGATTTGGCATGCTGCCCTGGGAGAGAACTCTGAGCTCCGAGACACTTGAGCTCAGGGCTCCCGTCTGGTCATATAGCATGGCAGGGGGTCCAAGATCAGGTAGGTTTAAAGAGCTCCCCCTGGTAAAGAAAAGGGGAAGATAGGGTGGATGGGGGGATTCTTCGAAAATGAACTTGGATTCATCTGATTGGTTTATCAATGATTGTTGATGCAGGACCAGCTGCGATCAATCATAGCATGTGATCCTCTCGAAATGAGTTATTGATACTTTACAGTAGAGCTGTAAACCTACACTAGTCTCACGGTTCGGTTCGGTTTCGATTATCATGCCATCGATTTGGTTCAATTCGATATTTCGGTGCATCGACGGTGCTTTCCATACACAGTTTTATATTTTCTTCACAGCAGCATTTCTTGTATTAAAATGTATGAATATATTTATATTTATATATTATTTGTAATACAATTTTGTCGTTTAATACAAACAGTCAGAAATACAAACTGTATCTTTTAAACAAAACGAGCATTTAGCAAATAATATAAACAAATATAAACATCCAGCTCAATTTCTGGTCCTTGTCTAGTTCTCTTACACCTCTTTGATTGGTCACACCCTCAACAAAAACGGTTGCGATTGGCTCTTGCGCGCTGCGCTCTTCAGATAAGTGACACTGATAAGCGGCAGGCGGCAGCGGCGATCTCACAACTGATGCATGATAGACACGGTGGAGAAAACTCTGCAGACACGCGCTCGTTTCTGTATCCAAAAGTAATGCTGTAAAACAGCCGAGAGGAGAAGAAAAGCCACCCCAGCAGGTCAAATGGGCCACTGTGTGTGTGTGTGTGTGTGTGTGTGTGAGAGAGAGAGAGAGACAGAGCGAAAGCGAGAGAGAGAGAAAGAGAAATGGAGTAGGCTACTTTCATTCTCTCGATCTCAGTAAAATAGGGGCTATTGTTGTATATGTCAGTGAAAGACTGATCCAGCAAACACACACAGTGAAATTGTGCACAGTTTATGAGTTTTAAGTAGTTAAAGCGCTGTAAATACTCGCGATCGCCTCCCTCGTGAGGTAAATGACGTCAGTAATAACCGGTCATGATTATTACTGAACCGATACCGAATTGTCGGCGTCTGCATCGCAGTGCACCGAAGAAACGATTCATTTTGACACCCCTACTTTACAGTGTTGCTTTAAGCTAGATTTATTGTAGAATACTCCACTAAGTATTGCTTACCTGTGTTTTTTGTTCTACCTTCAACAGGTCCATGACTATCTTCGCAGTAAGCTGTGCTCGCTGTACGAGAATGACTGCATCTTCGACAAGTTTGAATGTGTCTGGAATGGAACTGACAGGTACGTCAAAACCATGCGCGTCAAATCCTTCTCCTGGATGTCCACTTTCCGATATTTCAACCTAACCAGGAAACATTCAGGTACTCCTAAAAAGAATAGCTCACCCAAAAATGATAACACCCTTTACTTGTATCAAACTTTGAGTTTCTTTCACCTATTAAACAAGTAAAAAAGATATTGTGAAGAAAGGTGGGACCATTGGCTCTTAGAGTATTTGTTTGTCCTTCTATGGATATTAACACATAAGGGTTTGGAACCACTTGAGGGTAATTAAATTGTGAGTAAACTATTAAATTGTGAGTACATTTTTGGGTGAACTATCCCTTTAAAACCTTGATTAGCTGGTAAGGGAGTCGTGACAGGAAGGTGGCACTCCAGGAGCAGGATTGGACATCCTTGGTCAAAAGCAATCAGTCACACCATGTTTTGCTCATTGATTTTAGACTCTGTGCTGCCGTTTTTAAATACTAAGAACTAATCGATGTATTCCTCTCCCATTAGTGTCCTAATGACAGGCTCCTACAACAATTTCTTTCGCATGTTCGATCGGAACACGAAGCGCGACGTGACTCTGGAGGCCTCGCGGGAGAACAGCAAACCCAGAGCCATCCTCAAACCACGCAAAGTTTGTGTCGGCGGCAAGCGGCGTAAAGACGAAATCAGCGTAGACAGTCTGGACTTCAGCAAGAAGATTCTACACACCGCATGGCATCCCAATGAGAACATCATCGCCGTGGCTGCCACCAACAACCTCTATATATTTCAGGACAAGGTCAACTAGCACGTAGCTCTGACGTCTCCAGTTTAACAGCAACAAAAGGCACTATTTCTCTAGATGGACCAGGAGTGGAAAGGTTGGGACTCACTAACCGTGAGGAACATCTAGATGAGCTTTGCCTTCACAGCAGATTTGACGCTGCACTGAATCTGACGAAAAACTTGAAAATGCACTGCGAACCACGGACAATGGCTGTTGGACTGCTTTTGTTTTTAATTAAAATCTCCCCTTTCTGTAGGTTTACTGGTTACCCACAGCAGTACGAAGAGCATCCGCTTAACTTTGTCACTGACGGCCCTTTCACACGACAGGTCTTTCAATCATTAACTATGTTTCTAAATACGCGAACTAGATCTATGCGCAAAACTGGAATATCGCATAAAACATTTGCGAATTAAGAAGCCGATGTGTCCAAGAAAACAAAACCATCACTTCCTGATAAACTGGCGACAAATATCAAAGCCACTGTGGCCATTTTTTTAATAATAAATTACTTCCGCCTCAAAAAATGAAACGCAATGAACGTGCGGTGGCTTTTGGCACGTGACTTTACTTGATGCGATTGCTGAGATTTATTCGGTGAATGTGTTTCAATCGTAAATTATGTTTCCATACAAACACACAATTTCGATTTATGCATAAAACATTTGCGAATTAAGCTTTGTTCCCATCCAGTAAGTCAAAAACAACAAAATCGACCTTTGTCTTTCGTTTCCATACAAATACGCAAATTAGATTTATATGCAAAACTTGAATACTGCAGAAGACATTTGCAACTTCAGCTGTTTCCATCCAGTGAGTTATAAAAAAAAATATATATATATATCGTCACTTGCTGATAAACTGACGGCAAACACTAAAAAGAAAAATGGAATTTGAATTGTTTTTCTTATATAATAAATTAAATACGCCTCAGAAGATGAAACACAATGAACATGCGTTGGCTTTTGGCAAATGACTTTTTTGGATGTGACTGCTGAGATTTATTCAGTAAATGTGTTTCAATCATGAGCCGTTTTAATAGAAACACGCAAAATATATTTATGCGCAAAACTCAAATATCGCATAAAACATATGTGACTTAATCTCCGTTACCATACGAGTATAAATAAAAAAATAATAAAAAGAATCTGCACTTTCTGATAAACTGATGCCAAATATCAAAAAGAAAAATTTTATTTGCTGTGGTAGAAGCCAATGTTGGCTTTTTTTTCTTATATAATAAATTAATTGCACCTCAGAAGACATTAACTGAATTAATCTCAGCAATGTTTCTATACAATTTTGCGAGTTAAATTTATGCAAAAAACTGGAATATCGCATAAAACACTAGCGACTTGAACTCTGTTTCCATCCAATGAGTCAGAGTGTCTCCCAATGAGTCACTTGCTGATAAACTGACGTCAAATATCAAAAAGATAAATTTAATGTGGTAAAATTGCTGTGGTAGAAGCCAATGTTGGCTTTTTTTCTTATATGATGAAATACTAGGAATGCAAAGAATTCGCGTGGTGGCTTTCGACACAGCTTCTTTTTTTTTTTTTATTGAAACATTAACCGAGTTAATCGCTAAAATTTTCTGTACAAATATGCAAATTAGATTTATGCGAAAACTAGATTATCACGTAAAACATGACACTTAAGTTCCGTTTCCATCCAATAGTTAAAGAGATCAAAATCGTCACTTGCTGATTAACTGATGCCAAATATCACAATGACAAATTTGCTGTGGTAAAAGCAGCTGCTGTGGACATTTCTTCTAATAAAATAAATACATTTCACCTCAAAAAACAAAACGCAATGAACGTGCGGTGGCTTTTGGCACATGACTTTTCTTAATGCGATTGGTAAGATTTATTTGATAAGTGGGTTTCAATCATAAGCTACGTTTCCATACAAACACGCAAATTTGATTTATGCATAAAACTCAAATATCGCATAAAACATTTGCAAATTAAGCTCTGTTCCCATCCAGTAAATCAAAAACAACAAAATCGACCTGTGTGTTTCAAATCACCTTAGTTACTTGACCTGTTTGTTTCGAATCCCCTTAATCACTTGACCTATGTTTTGAATCACCCTAGTCACATGACCTGTTTGTTTCAACCACCTTAGTCATGTGACCTGTGTTTTGAATCACCTTAAGTCACATGACATGTTTGTTTCGAATCACCTTAATCACTTGACCTGCGTTTCGAATCACCTTAGTCGTTTCGAATCACGTGACCTGTTTGTTTCGAATCACCTTAGTCATGTGACCTGTGTGTTTTGAACCACTTTAGTCTCGTGACCTCTTTCGAATCACCTTAGTCACGTGACCTGTGTCTTTCGTATCACTTAAGTCACGTGACCTGTGTCTTTCGAATCACCTTAATCACTTGACCTGTTTGTTTCAAATCACCTTAGTCACGTGACCTGTGTCTTTCGAATCACCTTAGTTACGTGACCTGTTTGTTTCAAATCACCTAAGTCATGTGACTTGTTTCGAATCACCGTAGATACAGGACCTGTGTCTTTCGAATCACCTTAGTCATGTGACTTGTTTCGAATCACCGTAGATACAGGACCTGTGTCTTTCGAATCACCTTAGTCACTTGACCTGTGTGTTTCGAATCACCTTAGTCACTTGACTTGTGTTTCGAATCACCTTAGTCACGTCACCTAGGTGTTTTGAATCTCCTCAGTCACATTACCTGTATGTTTTGAATCTTGTTAGTCACGTGACCTGTGTATTTGGAATCCCCTTGACCTGGCTGTTTCGGATCATGCGTCAGTGCATGGTTTTCGAAACACTTACTCTTCGGGATCTCGACATTGTCAAAACGTCAGTTTCATGTCAGCCATCCCTACTTTTCGCACATGACTCTTTTGATGTGAATGCTCAATTTCTTTGGTAAATGAGTTTCTGTTACAGTTCATGCAAATGATTTTGTGACTAACAAAACATTCATCCTACTCAAGTTTTTAATGAGCATTCTGAATTTACGCGCATCTTTCCATGAAGCGTTTTTATGAGATATTCCAAAACGCGCATTAAGAAACATAGTTACCGATCTCTTTAGCCTTCATCAAAAGCATAGCAGACATCATCTATAATGTAACTAGGCAGCAAGAATGAGAAAAAAAAATTTACCAAATGACCATAACGAAATGTATGAGAACAGTCCTGCTTATTTGTTGAAAATATAGAAGATGAATGTGTTTCTCTCTGAATGTGATGACATAAGCAGATGCTCAGCGTTTTTCATCCTGCTTTGGAATGTCACAATGGCTGTTTTTTAATCAAAAATCAACTGAAAAGGCAAAGCAAATTTGACATGGAATGCTACAATCTAATATTCGAGCTTAACCCTTCATGCTGTAGCATAAAGTGACATCGACGAGTCGTCTGAAAGGGCCTCAAGCAAGAGGAATTGTTTCTGGTCAGTATTTAGCCTATGTCTGATTCTCACCTCTCGGCAGGATAGAGACTGCAGGCGGCTTTGATATCTGAATATGTTGTTGTGGCTGCTGTGAGGTTACCAACTCTTCAGCTTATTTTCTTTTTTAATTTTACTTCATCAAGGCGCGCGCATCATTTCTAAGCCTATGGGCAGGATCGATGCAACGAGCAGGAGTGGTGTAAAACTGAAGTAAACCATGTAGCAAAATGTACTAATGTTCTGCTTTTTTTTTTGTTCTAATTTTATACAGAAAGTGAAAAAAGGTAATAAAAAAATCATGAGGGAATACATTTTGCATTTGATTTGAAATCAAGACCGCGAGTGTTTAAAAAAAAGGTTGCATTTATTTCCAATCAACACAAACAGAAATATAGCAACAAATCCAAAATCAAACCACTTATTTAAGAAATATTTCACCTACACATGTACTGAACGGTTCACAACTGGTTTCAAACACTGACCCGTCGTAATAGCCTGCATCGGTTTTACCATACAAAATGCATCCCCTGCCTGACAATGGAAGTTCATAGACTGACATTAAAGGGTTAGCTCACCCAAAAATGACAGCTCTGTTATTAATTACTCACCTTTGTGTTGTTACAATGCCTCGAGATGAGCTCTCTTATCCTCCTTTGACAGCATCAAACATCCCGAAGTTAAAAAAAGGAATCAAAAGCACTGACAAAACATTCCACATGACTCCAGTGGTTCAAATATAATCATACCAAGCTCCAAAAACACCAAAAAATAAACAACAACTTTGTATTCCAGTGTGTTCAGAATCAGATCTAGGTGTTCCTACTATGTGGAATTAGACGCTTGTGTGTTGCGCTGCTAACTCTGACAACATGTTCCTCTGCCTGTAGTGTAAACAGTTTTTTTTGGTGCGCAAATTTGTTCTTGGAGCTTCGTTTGATAACAGATGAACTACTGAATGGCATAGAATGCTTTGACAATGTTTTTGGTTCCTTTAACTGTCGGATTTGATCCGAAAAATCATAATTTGTGTTCTGAAAACTAACAAATAACTCAAGGATTTGAAAAGACATTAGTGTGAGTAATTAATAACCGAATTTTCTTTTTTTTTTTTGGGGTGAACTAACTCTAACAGTTTGCCTTGTGCTAGCCTACAACTAGTGGGCATAGATGGCATCATCTCGCACAGTTCAAGTTGATGACAACCGAAGTTTTCAAAAAAAATACATGAAGACTTTCTAACTGTGCTTTAACGAGTACAGGGCCGGCTCATGCGCTGTCCTTTACGCTCCGCCAGGGCTTCACTTTGTGGAGCGGCGGCAGGGTTCAGATGCCGTTGGGGGAG